CCGGATTCCTCGAGACCAGCTTCCTGATGGCATAGGGGACCATGGGGCCACATGCTGGGCAGGCTGCCAGGGGCAGAGAGGGTGCCCACATCCGGGGAGCGGAGTTCATCCAGCTGCTTCTTCACTGTGGCCACCTTTCCACCAGAAAGCCCGTGTTCACAGGGGATTCCTCTGATGACCGTTGCCTGACGACCTCCGGAGTGGATTCAGAGGAGAGGGGTGGGTCTCAGGCCCACTCTGGTTGAAGGCAGAGGGAGGGAGGCCAATTCAGGAGCCCCAGTGACAAGTGCCCACGACCCTGAGGCAGCGTCCACAGCAGCCCCTCCGGCTCAGATGAGAGAGCATCAGCTCTGCCCCACAGGCTACTTAAGGGCTCCCCAGGCAAACTGACCTCAGCATGGGCAGAGGGAGTTTAGGAGCACGAGCCTGTACCGTAAGTCCCACGGATCGTGCTAAATTCAACTCAAAAGTTATGTGGTAGAAGAGCTCCCTTTTCTTCTCGGAGCCAGTCCTTTCCTCTCCCCAGTGATGGTCATAATTCTCAGGTCTTTGTACATCCAGGAATGTTCTGTGTGTTTAAAAGCAAACATACACCTTTTTTTTTTTTTTTAAGATTTTATTTATTTAAAAAAAAAAAGATTTTATTTATTTATTCGAGAGAGAGAGTGAGAGAGCACAAGCCGGGGAGGGGGGAGCAGAGGGAGCAGACGCCCTGCTGAGCAGGGAGCCCGATGCGGGGCTTGATCCTGTGACTCCAGGATCATGACCTGAGCTCAAGCAGACGCTTAACCGACTGAGCCACCCAGGCACCCCTAAAAGCAAACCTAGCTTTTGAAAAGTACACTAAAGATAACGTACTATAATCACTGTTCTGTACTTGCCTTTGTCACTTTATTTCTTGGATACTTTTCCATCAGTTCTCTTTCTCATTTTACATGAACTTTTTTTTTTTTAAGGTTTATTTATTTGAGAGAGAGAGCGCCAAGTTGGGGGGAGGAGCAGAGGGAGAGGAGGTAAGGAGGCTGTGCACTGAGCACAGAGCCCGACTCACGGCTTGATCCCAGGACCCTGAGATCACCACCAAGAGCCAGACGCTCAACCAAGTGCACCACTAGCCACCCCTACATGAACTCTGTGTTATGGACTCTTGAAAAGCAAAAATATAGTCTCTTAGGAAGCTCCAAAGACTCCAGTTACCTTTTTTGTTTTTTTTAATCTGCATTTGTGTGCCAGGGCTCAAGTTAGGGGTTGGCTGGTGATGGTCTAAAATTGTTCAAGGCCACTGGGTTCCTTCCTTAGTTGGGTGACGTGTGACCCGGAAACAAAAGTAGGCCACACGTGAGTGAGCACTGGAGTAGCTAGGTGGCGGGAGACACGGCTCTGTCTTGGGAGTACTCGGCCACCAGGTTTGTGAAGTAACAGCCCATGACAACCATGCGGACTGAATCCAGTGGTCCAGGCAGCTATTAAAACCTGTAAATGAACCCCAACTGCCACAGCCCAGGCGGGAGGAGTAGACGCTGAGTACTTGATGGGTGGCCTCTTAACAGGTGGGGCCTCCGATTGTGCGCGCGCATGCGTTTTGAGCCTTTGTGTGTCCTGTGTGTAGCGTATGGAATCCTGGAAAGGGCCCGACCTCAGATTACATGGTTTCGCAGTGACACAAGACTGCGTGCGCGGACTTTGGGAGTTGCGCCTCGGCTTCAAGAGCAGAATCCGTGCGCGTCGGGGCCGGGAGCGCGGCTCTGCCGGCTAGGCGGGCTTCAGAGGCGGGCTTGTCTGAAGGCGCCCGGAAGGGACTTCGGTGCGGCGGGTGGATGGAGATGGGTAGCAGTGGGGTGACCTGCCCCCAGGAAGCTGTTGCGGCTTCAGGAAGCTGTGGCACGCTTTCGCAAGGCTGGGTGTGCGTACTGGATGAGCACCCTCGTGTGCACTGTGGCGGTCATGACTGCCCGCGGCCAGAACGCAGACGGTGACCCGCTGCCCGCGTCTACTCACTGTCCGTCCCTGTGCCGTCGGGCCTGACGCTGGGCACGGGACAACAGCAGTGAGGCAGGAACCTGGAGGCTTGAGGAGGCCCAGGGGCGGCGTGGCTGTGGATGCCAGCTGGGCTTACAGAAGAGAGGGCAGCAGGGGGCTCGGGGACGGCAAGGTGGGATCTGCCCACGCATGTGCTTCCAGAACAGAGCGGCCGGTTCCAGGTTCTGGGGTTTCACCTGGCGTTTTCTTACTGGGCCTCACGACGTTCAGGGTGGCTCCGATCTGCTGGGCGGGTTTGGGCAGGAACATTCTGTGATCCCAACCTTGACACCCACGTTTTGCTTTGAATGTTCTGGAGGGACTTCGTGGCCAGAAAGGCATCCCTGGCCTCGCTTTGGTAGTCGGTGGGGACGCGCACTGACTTGGAAGCGCCTCGTCTTCACATCTTGAGAACACAAGGGAAGTCGGGGCTGCCTGGGAGCGAGTCCTCTCCCGGGTCCTGCGCACATGGGGCCAGTCAGCCCATGGCCAGTGACTTTCATTTGTGCTGTGACTTTTCCAGCCAGCGTGAGACCCTGCCTGGGAGTAAGAACTGAAACAAGCTCCATCTCCCCTCCCTGAATTCAAACCAAATGCAGGCCTTGAAAGGGAAAACCCTCCTTTTCCTGTTGCATCAACTTCCGGTGGATTCTTCCGGAAGCAACTCATTAAGTCCTCCTGGAGAGGCGGCCCCGACTACTGGCTCCCTACTGGCCCTGGCAATGTCCCACGTTTAGGAGGCGCCTTGTCCGACCCCCAGGGAACGACTTCTCCCCAGTGCACACCGTTTAATTAGGGCCTGTGCTTTAATTAGGAGGCTCCCCTGAGCCCAACTTAATTACAGTTACTTTTTCAGAATAAAGAGTTGCCTCTGCCCAAGTCCCAGCCAGTGCCTCTTGCTAAAGTCCTTCCCACCTGGGAATGGAGGCCCCTCCCCCTGCACTTGGGGGCACATTACCAGTGACTTTCCGATGATGCGACCACGGGGAAAGTATTTGAGCAGTTGTTTTTCTAACAGAGTGAAACCCTCTGCCTCTTAGGTTTGCTTATTTGTTGGCTAAAGGTAGTTTTTATCGTGTTGAATCCTGCCTGGGAGTAATAACTGGAAGGAGTGCTCGGATCACCTGTCCTTTTTCCTTGAAGCATACCCCCAGCAATGCAGTTTTCACCACACTTAACGTGTCATTTCGCCTTTGAAGGAGGGCTAGGACCTAGAGGTTCTGGGGTGACCTTGTTTTAAAAGCCTTCACTTGGCCTTAATGTGCACAGTCCCTGACGAGGAAGCTCTGAGCCCGGCTCCCCTGTTGCTTTCCTCGGAGTGGCTGCTGGGTGTGCGTGCCCGGGATGTGGGCAGCTGGTGGCCTTGTGTCCTTGAGCACTTAGGGCTGTGCTTACTCGGACAATCAGAGCTCAGGTGGGTGGGCTGCGATCACCTTTGTATGGCTCAGTACACTTGCCCGGAGCCCCAGTCAGAGGGCCGTGGGCTTGGGTGCGGGGAGCAGTGAGCACCAGAGCGAGACGGGGGCCCCTGGACCACCTCTCCTTTGTAATGGTCTGAGCAGCCCAGGGACCAGGGACTGCTGAAGGGAAGGGGCTGTTTTTCACCGAAGCATGTGGAGGGTGCTCTGCACTGCCTGGTAAGAGGGTTAAGGGACTTGATCCAGCTTCAGGAGCTGTGTGTAGCAGTGTCCCCCTCGGAGGCTGGTATAAAGAAGGCTTTTTACTGGATGAACTGAGAACACAAAACTAGAAGAAACTGTACACGCTGGACGGCGGTATGGAAATTCAGAAAGATCTGGACAGGCTGAAACAAGCCAAATGGAAATGACAAGGCGTGTACAGGTCTATATTTAGGTTTGCCCATCAGGGGTGTGGAAAGATTCTGCTTTGGATGCGAAGTTTGCACCGGAGAGAGGTCAACAGAATCCCGAAACAGCCTAAAATGCCCCCGGGCCCATGGTTCACAGCCAGCTCTGTGGCCTGGATTCACGGCTGAGCCGTCCCTGAGCCTCCAGATCTGTGTTCCGCCAATGACGGTCAGGTCACCCATCCCTAGTCCCACAGGGAAGTTGGATCAGCTTAGCCGCTCAAAGTGGGGCTTTGTGAACAGTGTTTTTTATGTGAGTGAGAGGAGCTTTACTGGCAATAAATACAGAGTCGTGGAGGCACAGGGTCAGAATGGGTGGGAACCTCTGGGGGGCCCTTCGTATATCCCCCTTAACACTGAATATCATTGTCACGGTTCTTGAGGCCTTGTCTTTTCCTAATTAAAGCAGAGGGCTTCTTTTTCTAAGCTGTGTGCTGGTGTTCTTGGGGCTGTCGGCCTCGGGTGCTTTGTGCAGTTCGTCCTCCCGTGATGGCCAGAGTTGTTTTGTTCTCAATCATCCGAAGCAAAGATGACCCTGTCGGTCTGTTGTTCTGCAGTGCAGGGATGACGACTTTTGAACCTTGCAGAGGGCAGAGTGTTTGGCACTATCGGCCTTGGATCTGTTGGTTTCCATCGAAGAATCCTCCCCCTTGCATCGCTCTGGTTAACCAAAGGCACAGTTCCTCCAGCCGACCTCGGGCCTCTGTGTGGGTGTGATTCCGGGCCGAAACATTCTGTCTTCCTTGGGGCTCCTCTGCACACTCAGCTCTGTCCGTGCACGGCCTTGGGCTGACCACCAGGCTGGTACACACTACAGGTGGTCATGTCCTTAGAGATCTGGGTACTCCTCCTCCTGTGTCTCTCTCTCTACATTTCACTATTTTCTCTGAGGAAAAAAAAAAAATTCTTTAGTGACTACCTTGTGTATTGGGTTCCAAGGAAGATCAAAACATAAGCGAGACGTGGTGCCCTCACGAGCTTGGGCTCTCTGATGAGCCTGAGGCCCAGGCTTGGGCCACGGACTTGTCCCCAGCATCTGAGCACAGAAGTGGGGTGGGCGCTGCTCAGCCTGACTGTCTCACTGTCTCCTCTTTCTCCCCCCTCCCCCCCCAAGGGTGAGCTTGTCGGCCACAGACTGTTACATCGTGCACGAGATCTACAATGGGGAGAACGCCCAAGACCAGTTCGAGTACGAGCTGGAGCAGGCCCTGGAAGCCCAGTACAAGTACATCGTGATCGAGCCCACACGCATCGGCGACGAGACGGCCCGCTGGATCACCGTGGGCAACTGTCTGCACAAGACCACCGTGCTGGCGGGCACCGCGTGCCTCTTCACCCCACTGGCCCTGCCCTTAGATTACTCCCACTATATTTCCCTGCCCGCCGGCGTGCTCAGCCTGGCCTGCTGCACCCTGTACGGAATCTCCTGGCAGTTTGACCCCTGCTGCAAGTACCAAGTGGAGTACGACGCCTATAAACTGTCCCGCCTGCCCCTGCACACACTCACTTCCTCCACCCCGGTGGTGCTGGTCCGGAAGGACGACTTGCACAGAAAGAGACTGCACAACACGATAGCCCTGGCCGCCCTGGTGTACTGTGTAAAGAAGATTTACGAACTCTATGCTGTATGATCTCAGTAGTGCGGGGAGAGAAGCAAATGACCCGGCCCAGGAGACACACCCCGAGTATTCAGATGGCCCCAGTAACAGTTTTTGCTCTGTGAGGCGGCGGAGCCTGGGAAGGGGTTTTGTTTAATATTTGTTATTTAAAAAAAAAAATAACACAGATCACAGGTGTACTAAGGGTTTTTCAACTCATTACACTAAGATGTGGATTTCCAGAACCCACAGGGGGTCTGAGCGGGCGGTGGAATGTGGACAGCAGCAACGCTACTGAGGGGGTAGGAGTGCGCTTATGGGGTGGGGGGGACGTCTTTAAGTCTGTTGTTTAACTGTACCATCCAGAGCCAACCAGAAGCTATTGACCATTAAAATTATGAGAATTTCAACTTCAGGTGTCTGCTGTGTCCATGACCACCTGCAGCTGCTGCGGGCAGCTGCTTGCTTGTGGGAGCTGTGGGCACCACGCGAGCCTGCCGGCCCTGCTCCTTGCTGTGGCCTGGTGTCACCGTCCGCGGCAAGAACAGGCCTCTGTGAATGAGGCCTGCCCAGACCCCTCCCAGAGCGGTCTCACCTCATGCCGGCCTCGTTTTCAAGGCAGGGACGTGGTGGGATCCGGTGATGAGCCCTAGAGGTCACTGGGTTTCCGTGTGGGGCCACGTGGAGAACAGGCCTGGGACCTCCTGTCCAGAGATTCTGATTTAGAAGGCCCCACGGGTGAACACTTGTATTTTTTCAAAGCATTGAAGCTGTTCCTGATGTGGACCCCGAGTTTGAGCCCAGGGCCCCTCCCAGCGGTCCCATTCCACAGGAGCCAGTCCCGCGCCCCTCCCTCACAGCAAAGGGCGTGTCGCACCCTGTCCTCCATATCCCTCGAAGGTGTTGGGTAATTAAACAAATCTTCCCTTCCATAAAGATGTCAGGTCCCCCGCCTTACGTGCAACCTTCCTGAGGCCTGCTCTCAGTCCTCCCTGAGGAGCTACATGGCACTTCCTTCTGAAGGGTCCATCTTCAAGAAGCAATCTAGTTTTAAAGGCCACATCGGGAAGATCGGATACCAGAGAATAATGAAGGGGTACATGGGAAGGCGTCAAGGAGCTCAAGTGGGCGATTGGTCCGTTTATTATAAGGGGAGATCCAGAGCTTTTAAAAGACTTCACAATGGACTGTGGTCCACAGACTCTGAACTTTAATTCCAAGAGGCCTAGAAATTCTAATCACTCAGGTGAATGCTGGGTGGCAAGATGGTGTTGGGGGCACACTATAGTTTACATGGCAGTCTGGCCATCGGCAACAATGCTCGATCGGTAGTGATCCCAGGCACAGGGTCTCGACGTGCAGAGCCCACAACCCCTCGGGTGTCTGACAGCTGGCTCCCAGGCCGGCCGGGCACGAATGGCAGGTGTCTTGTAATAAACGGCGCAGATTTGGAAAGGGAGCCCCATGCTCTGCCTGCAAGCCAGATTTCATGGGGGAGGTGGCTGGAAGCCGACAAGCAGTAGCCGTCTCGGTCGGGTCAGCTGAGCAGAAGTCCTCACCAGGAAGAGAAGCCAAGTGCAAACAAGCTGGCTCCAGATGCGCTGAATACAGTGATTCTTGTCAGGTGGACTAGCCCAGATTCTGACATACCAGCGCAGTTCCGAGTGCCCTGCCAAAGTGAGGACTCAGGCCTGCCGCGGAGCGCAGAGCAGGACTTTGGTGCTCTAGGCCTCTCCACGCGAGCAGCGGCCCCGATCGGCTGGGAAGGAGAGCGGCAGGAGCACACCTCCGGCGCCTGGAAGGCTTCTCTGTTTCTGCCGCCTTCCTAATTACACGGCACCGTCGAGTGGGTTACGCTCCTCGGTGACGTGCCGCAGGGCTCTTGACACGGCCTTAGGGAACTGCCAACTGGGAAACAGGCCGAGTCAGCTGGGCCTTGCCTGCGAAGTCCACACACCAGGCCTGTGTGCGTCCATGTGCGCCAGTGCATCGCGCCAGTAACCCAGTTACAGGCGTCTTGTTTGAACTGCCCACTCACCCCAATTTCAGAGAAGAGCAAAGAGCCTTTAGGAAGGTCAGCTCGAGAAGTGCGGAGGAGCAGACCGCGGCGAACACTTACCGGCTCTCTCCGTAGCCTGTCCGCTCCCTCCCAAGCGTCCACGTCTGGTTCAGCAGCTGCGGGGCCCCACGAAGGAGGGAAGGGAAGTGGCGTCCCTGGAGCCTGCTGGTGGCAGCTGCGCGCTCCCTGTCCCGTCTGACCACTCGGGAGCCGCGCACAGATGTGCAGCGCTGCTGGCTGGAAACTCACGTGCGCGTGCTTCGGCCCTCGGCCCGGGAAACCCCAGGAGGCCCACAGAGCAGAGTGGAAAGTGCCTTTGAACTTTATGTGCGGGCAGAACCAATGCAGAGCTTTTCCAACCTACCCCCAATCCACGGTGGGGGAGGGGTGGAAAAACCCTTGGGGACAGAAAAGAGAAATGGCAACAGCACCACCCCTGCCCCTGGTGGCCGATGTTCATATTCAAACACTGGCTTGAAAGCAAGAGTGGGGTCCTGGCCTGGGCACAGTGTGTGTGTGTGGGGGGGGCTCGCCCTCCCAGGCGGGGAGCGTCACCTTCACGCCAGCGCGCCCTCCAGGGCACTGACGTCGCTGGCCCTCCTCGGTCCTCTCCCTCGTTTCCGAGGCCAAAAAGAGCATCTGTGCGGCGGGAGCGCATCTTTACTACCTCTGCGGTATGGCCGACGTCCTCAGGAGCAGCCGGGCCTCGGACAGCGTCTGCCAGGCGGCCGGACGTAGCTAGCTTTTCATGATTGGTTGTGCTGCATTTGCTATTGATACGTTAGAATATAAAGTTTCTAAAGTAAGTTTAAGAAAGTGAGTGTGAGTCTTTAAAAATATGAGGTCAATAAACATCCAATGGTTTGGAATCGGGCTCAGGGCTCGTGTGTGGGTTAAGAGACCCTTCGTGTCTGCTCCGAGCTCTGCGTACGGATCCGCGCCTGGGTCAGGGCTTGGTGGGCCCCCAAAGCAACGCCCTCCGCAGCGGAGTGGGTGCCATGTTTTGATGACGGACTGTGTGGCTGCTAAGCATGTGTTCTTTAGAGGACAGCAGGTCACACCAGTGTCCAGTTGCTGCCCGTTTTGTTTAACGGAGAGAAAAGGACAGCACCTGGGTCCGGGCCCCGCTCAAAGTGCCAGTCAGCTGAGTGCCCAAGGACAGACGTTCTCCCGTTCCCATTTGGACACACGCCTTCCTCTGTCACTGCCTTTCCTGTGGACGTGCTGTGCACTTGACAATTTTATTCCCTCTCACAGTAGGCTTTAAAGTGGCCACTACGGCTGTCGTGGGCCCAGCTCTTCCCTGGCTCTAACAGCCCTGACGTGAACAGTAAGATCGTTCTCTCCCGCGTTAGGAGGAAGTAGATGGCTTTGGTGGAAAATGAAGAGCCGCCCCGGATGTCCGGGTGCACACTTCCACCACGGGCCCCTGCAATGTTAAGGCAGCGCTGGGAGCTGGGGAAGGTCACCAGAGCTAATGCCCCACTCCTCGTCCTCCTGCTCCCAGGAAACTCGAGAGCCTCAAACACTAACCATAGGTTGGCTTTGGCCATTTTTATTTCAGGGACAGCTGTTTAAGATACAAGCTCTGCAGGGCCAGAGTTAGGACACAGCGTAAGATGCCGCTATGACGTGCTAGGACATTTTTATTCCACATCGGGGAAGCCATACAATATACCCACAATTTCCACTTTCAGCCTAACAGGAAAAGTTTCATTCTAAACTTCAAGTATGACGTTGATTTACTCACTGTACTTCAACCATGTATTTTTAATAAATCAGAAAGGTGGAAGCAGGCATCCCTTCTGGCTCTGCTCCAACAGGCACAGCTAACAAATGACTTCTGTCACCGGGGGCCACCTGTGGCCTCAGAACCACCCCCCCCCCCCCCGCTGACCGGGCTTTGGAGTCTCACTTCCTAGAAATCTGCGGGACCATTCGGGTGGTTTTCCTCTCCCTTTTGGCTGCCGTATCCTTGTACATTCATCTTCTGCTTGAAGTGGGGCCTGGTCTACACGGCTTCAGGTGAGAGTGCACAGGGAAACCGGGGAATTCCTTTTAGTTACTAAAGCCAGCATCACTTGGGTTACATGGAAAGACGGAACACACAGGAGCCCATTTGTTGTGTTGGATGACGGACTGTAGGACCCCGACGGTGGATATGGATGACAGCTTCTTAAAAGGACAGCCTGCTCCCTTGAGTACTGCAGGTGACTCTGCCAAAACCATTAGTTTGTGATCCAGATCAGTCAAATATGAGAAGTGGGTCACATGATGTCAGGATGTCTTCCATCTTCAAGACTGACACACTTTAGGAGCTGGCTGAGGCTGGAATTCAGAGGAGGCATGGTGCTGGGAGCCCTCGAGGACTACAACTCTTCACCGTTCATTCATTTATTTCAGAGTCTTAGTTTAAACCCAGCTCCACATTTGTTCCTTAAGGTTTACCCCTCACCCCTAAGAAGCTGGTTGCCCTTTTTGGTTCTCATTCTATTAGCAGGGGCCTAGCCAGGGATCTTCGGAAGTGTGTGTTCCATCTTTCCCACCCGTAAGACAAATATCCAGTAAGGTTTCAACAAATGCAGCCGCCCCTTATCGAGGAGCTGCACCCAGCCAGGTGCTGCTCCCTAGCCCAGATGGGATGCGCCGCTAGGAGTTCTTGGACTTCCGCTCCTTTCTGGCCCTGGAGGCCATGAGGCTGAAGAAGAGCCCAGGAGCCAGAGTTCGCAGATAAATGGCCAAGGAAGGCAACAGGTCGGCCAGGATCACATCCTTCTTTTTCTTCCCCACGGCAGCCAGAACATCTCGGGCCACCTCCACAGGGCTTCGGCCTTGGGCCGTGGTCTTGTCCATAACTAAAATAAACAAAACAAAAGAAAGTCATGAACTAGAAAGCAGAAGTCCCCCTCTCAAGGACTTGAGCGGACATGGACCAATGTCAGCTGGGTTTGCTAAATTTCCCACCATGAAGCTCTTTCCACCGTCTGTTGGGAGGCACGTGGTATGCCACCATCCCTGACTATTCTGTACTCCCAAGAAATGAGGAAGCCATCTGCAGTTCAGTGTGTGTGAGCGGGGAAAGGGGGAATGCGGGTGAGACGTGGGAACGAGGTAGATGAGGCCTCTCAGCGCTTAGGAACTGGTAGTCCATGACAAAGGCCAAAGGCCAGGCCGCATGGGGTCCCAAAGAGTGAGCCCTTCACACATAGTGATTCCGGACCTTGGGAATTGTCCACTGGAACCAACAACACAGGATGGTGTGGTGCTGAGTTGGTCTTGAGTAGCCTGGCCTGAGGTCTGCCAGACGGGGGATGGGAAAAGACTAGGAGCGCCCACCGCAGTGAGAGTGAAGTGAC